CTTGTTCAGGGACTTGTCCATCCTGATAACATGTCCAAAGAACATGAGACAACGTCTCACCATCCTTGTTTCTAAGAAACATTCTGGCTGTATTTTTCCAAGACAGATTTGTTCATTCTTCTGGCAGTCCGTTGTATATTCATTATTCTTCACCAACACCATAATTCAAAGGCATCAATTCTTCTTCAGTCTTCCTTATTCATTGTCCAGTTTTCCCATGCATTTGAAGCTATTGAAAACACTGTAGCTTGGCTCAGGTACACCCTGGTCCTCAATGTCATGTCTTCACTTGAGTAGGAGGGAAACAAAATAATGATGTAGGAAGGAGAAGAGAAGATTGTTCAAGTCCTTGAGTAGGTAAGAGGGGATAGGATCTAGTGAACAGCCCAGTAATTTGAGACATCCCTTAGCACTAGCATCCTTTCATTCAAGCACTCAACAAAGATTTAATGACTGTCTGCTCTGGATCAGAGTCATTGCCAGGGACATTTACAACAAAGATATATAAGACCTAGTTCATGCCAAAAATTAGAAAAATTTACAAACATGTATACTACAATATAAAAATCTTCATATATACTAAAGGTACTAGGACAGAGCTAAGGGAGCCCAGGAGAGTGAGCAACTAACTCTGGTGGCACTATGGTTAAGGCACTGGGCTGCTAACCAAAAGGCCACTCCACAGAAGAAAGATAAGACAGTCTGCTTCCACAAAGATTTACAGCCTCGGAAATCCTATGGTGGTTGCTGTGAGTCAGAATCGACTTTGATGGCAGTGGGTTCGGTTTTTTGGGGAAAGGAATTGTAGCATTTGTAATATCACTGGAATTGCTCTGTTATCTAAAATAAGAAATGTCCAAGGAATTTGGAATTCTGTGCACAAGTATTAAAACATAGTAATTTAATATTAAAATATAGTATTTTAGATAGATCACTATAAAGCAGTCCATCATTGTCTATTTGTGTTTAATTTCAGTTTTTTAAATATAGTTTATAATAAAAAGCTGCCTTTCAAACAAAATTCAAAAGTACTTCTCTTTTTACCCATCCTACATTCATTAAAATGTGGTAAGAAATACAGTGCATAATTCCTGCCTCTATAGGGAGTTCTGGTGGCGTAGTGCCTAAGACATTTGGCTGCTAACCAGAAGGCTGGCAGTTCAAACACACCAGCCACTCCTCAGAAGGAAGGCTGGGCAATCTACTTCCATATTGATACCACCTCAGACACCCAAGGAGGGGTCGCTATGAGTCGGATCTGACTCGAGGGCAGTGCGTTTTTGCATTTTTATAGAGACCCCAGTTAGAAAGCCCCCAATGTGCAGCAAATGGGAAAAGTCAAGTAACAAGATAATAGTTATACTGTGAAGTGGTACCACAAAAGACATCACAAGGGCTGTGATACAGTTTCAGGTGAACTCAGCAATTAATAAATGTTCTATATTTAGAGGAATAAAATATTACTCTAAGATGCAGTGGTCAGCAAAAAGTTTTAAATGGACTCTCATCCTCATCTTTCTTGACTATAAGACAAGAGTTCTGCCTGGGTATAATTACAATAGTGCATTTCTTATGCCACACCAAAGAAATGAAACAGGTAGGATTGCTCGGAAAAATAATTTATCATTGTAGTTAGTATTATTATCAGTTTTCTTCATGATTTAGTGATATTGACTTTACCTCCTCAAGAACTAATGTAAATGTTACTGCCTAAAGAGACTTTAAAATTTTTTCAAATTATTCTTCAGATAAATGATTAATTTATGTACATTTATATAGGAATGTCAGGTGTATTAATGTAACAAGTCGTAAAAAGACATATGAGAATAAAAATACTTGACATGTGTTAATAGCAATATATATTTGATTTAAATCCATGAAGTCAGATCTGACTCATAACGACCCCTCCTTGGGTTTCTGAGGCAGTATCACTATGGAAGAAGATTGCTCAACCTTCCTTCTCAGTAGTGGCTGGTGGGTTTGAACCACCAGCCTTCTGATTAGCAGTCAAATGCCTTAGGCACTATGCCATCAGAGCTCCTTAATAACAATATATATATTTTATTTAAATCTAACTGTAATAGTTATAGTACTCCTTTAAAAAAAAAAAAAAGCCAACAGTACCATAACATCAAACCATAAATTTCTTTTTCTACTTGAACTTTGCTGCCTTGTGAAATTAAAGTTCTGCTATATAAATGCAGTGACAAACATATTTCCAAGCTGCAGTGAATGATGTGTGTATTTGGAATTGAAATAATTTAAGCTATTGTCTATTTTTCATTATGCTGTTTATATAAGAATGTTACCTTATGTTATTACTTTGTTTCATTAAGTCTGTATCAATATTTTAGCACAATAAAAAAATTATAGAAGAATTAATTCATAGAAGCAAAATTATTTGTTATACATAAGTAATATACTTTTAAAATACTTATTCTGATTTGCATTGCTGAATTTACAGCTTTATAAATAATAAAAGCAAATGCTTTATGTCCTCCAAAAGTAAATTTTAATTAAGAATTTTTATCTCAGTCTTTTTGTCTAATTCAATATATTTTCCTTCAATTTTGAGTTAGTAATATACAGTGTGATTCTGTTTAATAAAAATCACTCTCTGAAAAATCAGTGTTAGACTCTTCTGCAATTTTGTTTTCTTATGGTGACTAATACAACCAAAAGTAATAAGGACTTAACTACCTGCTTCAATGATTTATTTACATTTGAATCTCAGACAAGATGACCCAAAACACAAGTATAATTATGTATCTCATATGATGTGTGTGAAGTATTATAACATAAATACAAATCTTTCTTCTTGTTTTTGTGCACACATGTTTTACTCCAGACAACCGAGCAATTCCTTGAAAAGTATCAAATTAGGATTTTTTTAGAAATAATAAATACAAAAAAAAACCCCAGTCACTGAGTTGATTACTCATAGCAACCCTATGAAATAACATACAGAGCAAGTAAAGCAATGAACTGCTTATTTATTGGATTTTTCACTTTTCAAAGGCTTTGGTAGCATATAGAAACAGTGTTAGAGCCGAAATGGAATTTATTTTCAAAGCTAGATGCTAAAGAAATAAGTTGTAAATATTTTTTAAAAATAACATTCACAACATTGAAAATCTGAAGGACTGATACATAGTAGAAAATCTAAGGAGACCTTTCCTAAAACTGCCAGCCTACCCTTGGTGGGCAGAATATATGAACTGGGATCAACTCACACAAATTCCCTGTCTATAAAAGAGCAGAGATATATTCCATGGGAATTTTGGAATCTCAGATGATCCTTTATAAAGTCATTTGTACATTTTGAAAGGAAGCCACTATATAAATACACAATAATTTCATCATGTCTAGTTCATCCTCTGGCTTTAAAAGAGCTTAGCAAAACATAATAAAGTGTATCAGTGTGCATAATAAAAAGCCATAAAGTTGATAAATTTCCCTGAGAAACAGAATTAAAAGTCTTCAAACAAACTTTTTTTAAATCCCTTGGAGGCATTATAATAGTTGATTGTGAAATTTAGTTGGGCAAGGAAGAAAGTCAAGAGGACTTAAAGTGACTGAGACACTGAAAAGTGGTTAGATTGACAGATGGAAAGAAGGATTGTTGGACTTGGAATACTAAAGGCAGTGTGCTGGAAGTACAGAAGGTGGTAGTTGGAAAGTGGGATATTTGGAGGGATTGCAGTCTTTGCAGATGAAAGATTATATATGAAAACAAGTATTAGTGGAGGCAAGAACATCAAGAAACTAGAGGCCAGACTATTAGAAAGTGAATATTGAAGTCACCAAGAATTATGACAAAAGTAGTGTTTGAATGTCTGGGTTTGAATGTTGCCACTACCACTTACCGGATGTCTGTCCTTAGGCAAGTTACATAACCTGTCTGAGTTTCCTCATCTGGTAAAATAAGGATAATGATAGTTTATTTTTCATAGTTGTTACGAGGATCAAACAGTCTAATGCATATGAAGCCATTAGACAGTACCTAGCATATGGTAAATGATATATATGTCTTAGTAGTATTATTATGATTACCATAATCATCATTATTGTTAGAATCCAGTACTGTATAAGTCTCTGATTTTCATTTATTCAGCCTTTACTAGGCAACTATTTTATGCTAGGCATTGTACTAGGTATCCTTTTAAAATTTCTGTATGATTTTCTTTGGCTTTTTTATGTTTCAGAAACTTAAAATTGAACAAAAATAATGTACTGCAGCCTCACTGAAAAGTTATCTTTGCAGTCTACGCTGTGAGTTCTTGCTAATGTAAAATGCTGTTTAGTAAGAATATAGACCCAGAAGGAAATGGGACAGGCCAAAGCAGTGGTTACTTGGATCTGTAAACTGGACATGCTCACTGTAGCCAGAGTTGCTTGGGGACATCAAGCTATAGGCCTGAAATGAGAATCTAGTTAAATTGCTGAGTCATGATGGTATCCAAAATGTATGGTGATAGGAGTTAGGAGGCAATATAAGATGAGAAGTTAGCATTGTGGTGTTCCCACATGAAACAATGGGTTAATATCCTGGCAAGCAAGTTAAATGCAAGGGGTATTATGTTGAAGGTAGGCTATCAAGGTGTAGACACTTGAGCACTGGAGAATAAGACAGGGATCCAGTTACTGAACATGAAGTATAATCACTGAAATAATGATCTTCAATCACTGAAATAATGATCTTCTTCATAAAGGACCACACTCTTAAAGTCTGGGCTCCTCAGAGAGCAAACTTAGGCTATTCTTTACTATTTATAAAAAGTGCCTTAAGTTTGCACTATCACTTGGCCGATTGCCACAGGCAGTTTCACCTTCTGGCTCAAAACACACATTTTCTTCATCTACACAAATGCCAACCATAATGTTGCATATGAGTGAGTGTGTTTTGCAAACTTTAGCTAAAAATCACTGTGAATTTGAGCGGACATGGGGCAGAAAAAAAAAAAAGACAATGTGATGTGAATTTTGTTCTCTGTGTTTAGGCAAGCTACGACCTATATCTATGCCAGTGGAATATAATTGGGTGGGGGACTATGAAGATCCAAATAAGATGAAGAGAGATAGTAGAAGAGGTAAGTGTTCTAGAATTTTAGTGTAGGCTGGGTTGTTTGAATAATAAGCAAATTTAAATGTTCTTTAAATAGGATGTTACGGTTTCAGTGGAAAACTTTTCATTCTATCACTGATTTTATGGTACACCAAAACCAATTCAAACCAACATTTGACTATCTTGACCAGTTATTAATAGATATCTTCCCTGAATCCTTCCTAAAGGATCCAGGGTAGATAAGTACACTATAAAAAATGACTATCTGGTTGTTATCTAAAATTTGATATTTTGAGAAAAAGGTCAGAAGTGTGAAACTGCATTAAAAAATTAAGTTCACTGACTAGGAACAGTTTGTGATCAGTCCCCATTGGTCCGCAATGCAATCTCAATACTTTTGTTTTAACACAACCTTAAAATAAGCACTGAAGCACATGGGTAAAAGGTAATGGAAACTGGGCAGTGACTCTAAAGAAAATCATAAAAAATTGAAAAAAAAAAAACCTGCTTTCTTTTTCCTGTTCTGTTTGCTGTTCAGGGATATCTTCTTACTTGGGGGTGGGGTACTCTTGAAGTATCTACTGACAGTAAGTTTTCATGTTCACTTATCCTGATATTGAGGTGAGCAGTAAAGAAAGCAAGTGAAAGTCTAACTACTAACTGGGGTTTGACTAAATGTGGATATGATAGGCCCAGTGGGTCATGCTGCTACTTCCACTTTCAAAAGTAAAGAGCTCTAAGGTTGTAGATTAAAACAAGACAAAAACAAAACAAAACAATTCACTGAACTTAGGTTCATGAAGCTGTCTTCATGATCATGTTTGACCTGTTTGCATGCTATTTCTAGCCAGTGTACAGAATTTATTTCATTATTACACAGATCCACAGACCACACAAGGACAAGAAAGCAGGAATATCTGCTTCATTAGTCTTCTTAACACTTATTTTATGGAGCAAGCATTTCTGAAAATGTAGGTTAATACAGGAACATTGCAAGATTCTTTTACATCTATATATTCACTTATTTTCCAAGCTTCAGTTTCTAGCCTCGTTTGTTTTATAGAATAAATCAGGGGTAAAAAAATAAAAGAGCAATGCCTATAATATGCCATTTCCAAGTGAGATATTTAAAAAAAAAAAAAAAAGCCATATGAGGTATTAAGTGCTGACTATCAACTTAGGCATGGATTTTATGAACTACATTTCTGAATATTGGTTCATAATGCTGGCTTTTATTTCTCCAAGGGGGACTGCCTAGTATGCCATAGGTCAGTGTTTGGGATCAAGCTTTAGCAGAATCTTTATCAAATTTAGAGAAACTATTAGCCACGTACTCACAATTTCTAATTCAAGGTGTGCGGGTGATTTGGATGTAATTGGTCTAGGAATAAAACTTGGAAAAAATCCTTTACTGGCTATTTCTTATTCTAGGATCCCAACACATTAAGATCCTATACAATTTTCATTACATAGGTATTTTCTAAATTAAATCAAGTTAAATTTCTGAAATGAAATCTAATAGCACAATTAGAAAAAAATGGGAAATCTGCATACTTATATTGGTGTATTTGTCTCTTTTTATATAGAAAACTCTCTACTCCGATATATGAGCAATGAAAAAATTGCTCAAGAAGAATACATGTTTCAGAGAAACAGCAAAAAAGACACAGGGAAGAAGTCCAAAAAGAAGGGTGATAAGAGTACTAGCCCAACTCACTATTCATTGCTACCTAGTTTGCAAATGGATGCATTGAGACAAGACATCATGGGCACCCCTGTGCCAGAGACCACCCTCTACCATGTAAGTACATTCTCAAAGTCTCTGTACTACAGCTTTTATTGGGAAACTGGCAAATTACTCTTTTGGGTAAATTCCACATTATTTTTTTTTTTCTATTGCCATATTTTCACAAAAGATCCTAGCTTTATAGTTTGTACCCTTAAAGCAAAAAGATGGATTATTGATTTGTTCTTCTTCAGTCTGTATATTGAATGAGTTCAAATGTTGTTGCAGATTATATTTTTAATGAGGTAAATATGCACAAAATTGTAGAGGAACAAAAGTTAATTAGCTGATTAATCATCAGTGTCATAATAGTGAATGGATAACTAAAGTTCAACATTAAAGAGAATATTTAGTGTACTTATGATTTCACTAAAAATGATCATCTATTACATGGTAGACATAGTGTATGATGTTAGAGATAAAAATGGGAAGAGATTACACATCATTATACAGGGAGAAAGGTATGCCAACAGTTCCATGTAATGGTGGGTGCATGAAGAATAGGAAGAATATAGGAGAAGAAGGGCCTTAGCCTACGAGAGAAATGAGAAAAGACTTCAGAATAAACCCAAACCCACTGCTGTCGAGTCATATCCAACTCATAGTGACCCCTCCTTGGGTTTCCAAGGCAGTATCACTATGGAAGTAGATTGCTCAACCTTCCTTCCCAGGAGTGGCTGGTGGGTTTGAACTGCCAGCCTTCTGGTTATCAGTTAAATGCTTTAGGCACTATGCTACCAGAGCTCCTGAATAGGAAATATTTATATGAAGAGAGAAAGATGAGTAGAAGTATTTTAGTGGGGAGGCATATGTGAGAATATGATGTCTGTAGCTCAGAATTGTTTGTTCATTGAAAAACCCAGGGAAAGCACGGGAGGAAAGAGACAATACATGGGCCCGGAGAGGTAGGCAGGGATTAGATCAAGAATTTTATGATAAGGTACTTAGGCTTTTTCCTACAGTGATGAAACCCCATTAAACAATTTTGAGCTGGGGATTTGCATGAACACATTAGCCTGTTAAATGAGCCTTAATTAAGAGACCAAAGGCGAGATGGAACAGTAGCAATGTGAAGTCTGAGAACCTTGTTAGCCATAATATTTGTTCACAAAAAATCAACCCATTTTACACCATTTTGGTTAAAAGGGAGTTTGCTTTGCCAGTGGAACTATATAGCATCTTACTAGGAGTCTTGAAAAACATGGCCTAAAAGTTTTTTTTTTTTAATTGTATACAAAATGTATAAAATGTACATTTTATTTCTTTGT